AGCATGGATACGTGGTTATAGCTAAAACTGAATTGGGGCAAGTATTACTGCAGCATGAAGCACATCACACCAAGAAAACCATAACCCTGGCATATGAATTAGTTACTCTCTATTCCAGTACTTAGTGTGCAAAAATATTTTGTTGTCCTCCTGGATAGTTCCTGTCCTGCTCCCTGACATACTAAGTTTGCCTGTAGGTCAAAAAATGGCAAACTCAAGCTTCATAAGTGTACTTATTGTACAGTTTTATTCACATAACCAGGCTGTAAATATTTTTGACTTATAGTCCTTAAAACATCACATTACAAAGGGAGATTATTAACTGAAAAATTAGCTAAGTACAAAGTTAAAGATGAGTCATAGAAGAATAAATTATTTTGATTTGATTCTTTTGCTATTTTAATAGTCAAATAATTGAAGCCCTTTTCATAGTAATTTGTATTCGTAATGGTACCATATGGCATAAGATTAAATTCCACAGTCTTAAATTTTAGTTCATATCAACATCACAACTATATCCTAGAGTTTTATATTCATGGTCATCACAGTAGCATGATTTCATTTCATGTAGTCAGTATCCTTGAATAATGCAAAGGGCAAGTTTAAGAGTGCTAGAGTCAAGGAAACTCCAAGTTGGATGTCCTGAAAGCAGTTATCTTGCTCCACTGGAACAGAAGTGGAAAAACCAGAACCACTCTCTTCTGTGCCTGCCTCAAACATTTCCCCAAGTACTGTTGACTCCCAAGACAAAAGGGCACTCAACATTTTTATAGTCACAATTGACAAGTTTTGCTCAGCTGCCAACCTAAGCCTCTTGTATTTCAGGAGACATACATCTGCACGGCACTAGAAAGAAATCCAGTGTAGAGATGAAAATGGCTGTTCCATTTTCCACTAATACATGTATTGATAATGATTAATGATCCAAAAAAAATATAGTAATTTCATTACCTATCCAGCACCCTTAAAGTGGATCCAAATCTGTAATCTAAAAATAATTAAAAAAGTAATCTAAAAATAATTTAAAAATCTAAAAATAATTAAATAAAAATATTTAAAATAACCCAGTAAGTGTGTGGCTCTGGGTTAAGGATACCACACGATCAGAATTCAGACTGATAATTTAGAGCAGAAGATAATTTGTGGCTGCCACCATGAAGCAACAACACGTACCTCTGTTGTCATTCAGACTGCCTGAACACAACTGGAGCTGAGCAATCACATTTCATTGTATCACTGAATATTCATTATATTTGTTATATCCTATGTGCAGCTCTTTGGACTAGTCACCGAGTTACTCAGAGATGTAGGTTATAAAAAGGGAGTTTATATTACAAACATGCTTTAAGCCTAAGTGCATTACCCATGGAATTGTGTCAGCATTCTTGCAGGGTGGATGGGAATATTCTACTGTAGCTTCTTATCAGGAGTTATAAACCATTAACCGTCCTTAGGCTGAAAGGTGGATCCCGGACCTCAGAAATCCTGTTGTACTGAGATGCCATCTAGTGACAGGGGCCTCAAATTCGGGAAAGCAGCTCCCCTCCCTCCCTTCCTCCCTCCCGGTGCTGGAAGTTCCCCTCTCCCCACTCCCCTCCATCGCAGAATGAATATTTACAACCAATAATGACTCTACACTAGAAGACTGATTTATTTTACGTTTCCTTGGCAATCTGCAACTCGCTCAGGCTGCTGTGCCCTGCTCAAGTAGGCATTTCTTACTTTGCTCTCTACAATAACCCAACCAAATTACTTTGTTACTGCTCCAAGTAATTACCAGAAGCTTTTGCTGTATGTTTCATACATATATAAAACAGAGTCACAGAATGTTAGGGGTTGGAAGGGACCTCTGGAGATCATAGAGTCCAACCCCCCTGCCAGAGCAGGACCATCTAATCTAGGGCAGGTCACACAGGAACCCATCCAGAATTAAAAGTCTCCAAGGAAGGAGACTCCACAACCTCCCTGGGGAGCCTGTTCAGTGCTCTGTAACCCTTAACAGGAAAGAAGTTCTTCCTCATGTTGAGATGGAGCTTCTTGTGCTCCAGCTTGTGAATGTTGCACCTTGCCCTTGTGCCTTGCAGGGCACAAGTTTAACAACCTGGCCAAGAAAAAGCTCTCACCTGTGGCAGTTGGCTGGCAGCAGGATGAAGTGTTCTCAGCAGGAGTAGCCTGGAAGGAACAGATAAAAGTCCTTCCATGCTCCAGTGGCAGACAGTACAGAAAATCCTTTGAGCAATATCAGATGTAAAAGAAATTGCCTAAAAGAAGCATTTGAATGCATAATGTGCTTGTTACTCACAATACTGCCTTTGTGCTTCAAATTCCCCCAATTTTATTTTTGAAGTGCTGATATTTTTATTAGACATCAGTGAGCAATTTCTTCCACTAATCATCCAGGATTTATCTGTGAAGAGAAGGGAGAATTCTATGCCATGCAAGGCAACTGTGATTTAGAGTCCAGATAATCTTGCAATATTTAAAGAGCCTTGGCATTAACAGCAAACTGTCAGTGCCATTTCCAAGGCCACAGAAGAAAGGGAAGCCGAGAAAAGAAACTATCCAATGACTCCAGCAAAGTCGGGGGCAGCCTAAGGCAATGCCCTGCCAGGGGCTGATGGCATCCAGCAGTCCTACAAGCCCACACCTCAGTTTTCCCTTCCTCTGAACAGAATTCTCTCAAATTAACCATTTTATAAGCATTGGTGTACTGTTATGGTATTGGACTCTATATTTTCAGTAAAGGCAATCAGGACTTATTGCCTCTGCCCATTTCAATATTTGTATTAAAAGTTCTTTTCATTCACAGGAGTTGAGAGTTCAAACGTTCTACCACAGCAATACAACTACTTTGAGCAAGCACACCATTATTATGCCAATCATTCCTCTTCCCAAGGCATGTTTGTGAATTGGCTACTGCACCTGAAGAACTTTACAGATACAAACCTGCTTAAAACATCATTAGATGGAGAAAGCCTGCTTCCTCCTGACAGCTGTTCCAGCCATGTCACTGCAGCACTTTGTACTGGGTGCTACACTGAAGAGATGCTGCTTTTTACTTCCAGTGCACATGAAAATGGTGTTGCCCCCTCCAAACTGGAAGTTCAGATGAAATCAGGAGCTGGAGGAAGGTGAGCTACAATCACCTTTGATGTCCAACAAACTCTTATTCCACTGCATTAATTATCCAGACTGCTAATAGTCCTTAAAGCAACATGCAAGCCTTAGGATACCTACCTACTTAATAAAGATCAGCACAGAACTGTGTCACACAGACAGAAAGATTAAACTGTGACCTTCAATATAACTGAAACTATGAGTAATTTTGTGAAGTTTCGTACTGCCAATTGCATCATCAATTCAGTGTGCTTAAATGTAAGGATTTTAAACAATATCTGGCCATATAAAGACATTAAGTTTGTAACCAGCTATTTGGTTACCAAACTTGCTGACAGAGAGCTTTTTATTCCATGGGAATACTTTGAGATTTGAGAATGGAAATTGTCAGATATAGCTACTTCCAGCCCCATGAAGATGCTGTTATTAACACTGTAATGTACCAAAATTGTTATCTGCAAAATGGTGACAAAATCAATCAAATGTCTACAGGTAGTGCTGGTGCTACAACTAGTTTTAAGAACTTTCTCTAAGAAGGCATCATCACAAACATGCTTGGACATCCAGCTCTGAAACAAACCCAAACTACAACATACATTCAATTTTTAGGTTTGGAGAGAACCTTTTTCTCCTGCCAAAACCATGCTTTTAGGAAGTACTGCAGCAAAACCTAAACACATACTCACCAACACACCTTGTTCAAATCTGTCAGGAAGACCCGTGCATGCAGCACCTCCTACAAGAAACCAATTTACACAGCTATCTACTTACTGCAAGATGTGTAAAAATAAACAACAAGAAAGAGTCTTTTAGCTTGAACATAACTACCAAGCTCCTTACAAGATGCATAGTTAATACTATCATCCAGCTTTCTTTTTGAGTATTTCTCCTCTATCCATTCTTGAATCAGCTCTTGGAATTACACTTTGAAGAGCTCCTTTTGAATCCAGTAACCCTGAAAAGTAACTACATGATAAGAAAAGAAATAACTGAATGGAAAATTAGCAGCATTTTTAACTTGTTGTGGAGCCAAACACTTATTTCTTTAATGTTTACAAATAAGATTTTATACAAATAATAGAGAACAAAGTTTTTTATCCACACTAAAGAAATCACCCTATGCTCAGTATTCTCACAAAACAGGTTTGGTTTTAGTATCAAAATACCACCCAGTTGGCCATGCACCATATTCTCTGATGCTGTCAACTACTGTAACTTTTGAGCTATACCAGTTTATACCAGCTTCCACAAATATTTGCATTAAATTCTAAAAAAATTTACTCCCATACACCAGTTTAGGATCAGGTTCCCTAGTTCAGTATTTCCACAGTTAAACTTCTGGAAAAGCACCAAACAATAAAACCTCCTTTAAGGAGCTGATGACTGTAGGTTATAACTGTCACAAGCAACCACATCATACAACTTCTTTCCTAAAGAAATCACCCAACTATTTTCCTCCTTTCCTAAGTCACTGGAAACTGGTTCCAGAACCCTTCTGCTCTGAAGGGTGAAGGCCTCCTCACAGCTTTGGAAGAGTTGAGTCTCAATACATGTGACTTTTCTTCAATTCCAAGTTAATTTGGTTAAATTCCAAGTTAATTTGGGGGCAGAGGAGAGAACTTAAAAGTAAAAAGAGTCTTCTAAAAAAAAAAAAAACCAAACAAACCCAGGACATTTCAGTGCTTCATTTCATTCACTTTAAATACAGTCTGCCTGTGTGTTCCTTCAGTACAGGAGGGATCATTGTCCAGTCACCTTTTCTCCTTCAGAACAGTATGCGTGTGTCCTTCAGGAAGTGTTTTTGTTAACCTATCAATATTGATAAACTTCCTTGGTCTTCAAAAAAAGCTTCTTTTTTCTTTCCCCTGGACTTTATGTTAGCCTTAAAAGATAGCTGGTATGAGCCTGTAGGGCACTGCAGCAGTGTAGCGCTTCCAGTCCTGCCCGTACTTGCTGAAACAACGGTGCTCGTCCCTGAGGCAGCGGTGGGTGAGCAGAATGGTCATGTAAACAATGTAGAAGTAGGGCAAGACGTGCTCAAAGCCACAGGTCAGGCAGTAGGCCAAGGAGCCCATCAGATCTCCCGTGTAGTTCAAGTGTCGCGCCCAGCCCCAGAAGCCCGAGGCCATCAGCTTGCTGTAGTGCCTGGTGCCGTCCGCGGAGGTGTAGGAGCACTCGATGTACTCCGGCTTCCTCCCCCACACCCTGCAGTTGCCGTCAGTCCGGCGGAAGAGGTCCTTCTGGTGGTTGGCCATCCTGAAGATGTAATAGCCAACCAAGCCCAGGATCAAGATCCCCACGGCGTTGGCTGTGCGCAGCTGGACGGGGTGATGGACCAAATACAAACCCTGGGGAGCAGAGGAGAGACAATCAGGGACTGACTTCAGATATGCTTGGGATGCCAGACGATATTCCTTCACCTAGAGTCACCCAGAACAGATGAATAGAAAGAACAGGAAAATCCACCCTAACAGTAAAACCGTGGAAAATTGTCAGAAAACTCTGCATCCTGCATTTCCTTTCTCTGTCCCTCTCCAAAACTGCTTTTCTTAGGTGGAACAAGAAAAGAGAAGTTGCAAGGATACAGGTGAGCCAGGATAGAAGATAAAAACAAGCAAAACCCAAAAACCTTCCAACCAAAACCCATCAAACCACCACTCACCAAAAAGCCCCCAACAATCAGGAATACAAAAAGGGACTGCAAGGATTTAGAAAATACACAGACACAACAGACAATGATAGAAAAAGGCACAAAAGAGAGGAAGAAGAGGAATGTATGTCAATTCCACGGACAGACAGAAAGCCCTCCTACAAACAAATCCTTACAAAGGATATTGCAATGGTTACTCAGTATTCAAGCCATCTAAAACCAATTTAAGATACAAATCAAACTGCTGGGGAGAATGTTCCTGGAAAGTTCCTTACTTTTTAGCCCGAACACATACTGTACCACATTTTTACCTGCAAAGTATAGAGGTAAGGCAACCAAACACAGTCTCCCCAGCCCAAGTACCATCCAAAGTGATCGTGGCAGATATCAATGGTTTTCAAATACCAGGCTTCATTCCAGAAGAAGTCCAGAACATAAATACCCTGAAAGAGAAGAGTTTCACATTAATAACAGAGCACTGTCACCAGATAACCCTGTTTAACAGCAGCAGCCTAATCTTCTGTGCTGTTGTGTGTTAAGAGCTCAGAAGTGACTTGTGTTTTCATTGAAACACCTCAAACCCAGGGTCTCAAGTGGAACATATCACACAAATATATTGTAACTATGTAACTAAAGCAACATTCAATAACGTGGAGCATTATTAACCAAGGCAAGCGTGCTACTGCAAGGACATAAGCTTAGGAAGTGTAGTCACATTCCACCACCCCTACTTCTCTTTGGCTCAGAGAGGGGAAATGGAGCTGCTCTCGAGTGGGCTCCCATTTACAGACATTAATGAATAAATTCAAACTATTATTTGTACTTCTTACTTTGGGGTCTTGTTCTTACTTTTGGGTTTGTACTTCTTACTTTACTTCAGTACGAAGTAGCACACTTAACAGCCCCTGGCTATTTGTAGCTGTGGACATGAGGTGTAGTTCTGCATGGCTCACCCACAAAGTAAAAATTCAGTAGTCCATCCTCACTGAATGAGGCCATTCAGGCCAGGAAAAATTACCTGAGTTCAATTTCAAAGCAAGAAATGTTTTCTAGTGTAATATTTTCTTTTTTCTAAATTGTTTTCTTATTTTCCTCCTCTGAATTTACCTGAAGGACATTGACAAGGACCATGGAGTTCGTTACGTGACCGTACAGCTCCTGCTGTTTAGCAGCATAGGAGAGGTTAATGAGAGTCCAGGCTACAATCCCAGGGCGCCCATTGAAGAACAGCTTGAAATCAAACCACTTTCCTATTCGAGGGTTGAATTCAATCCCCATCATGTAGTCGTAGAAGAAATTGCCAGTGAATTTGCTAGAAAGCATAAAAATTAAAAATGTATGCAGGTATATACAAATACAGGTAATTATTACTCTGACTACACATTTCAGATTCACTTGATGTAATGATAATAAAAATCATTAAACACACATAATGTTGTGCAAGATAACACCAATTGACCTTTTTGTGTTGGTTAGTAAAAAAAAACAACCAAAGCATTACTTTAGTACAGACAAATTTTAGCTTCAAAAGGTACCCTAGTTTATTCTTGGCAACACTTTTGAATAGTTTAACTATAACTTTACTTATTTGTCACAAATAGGATGGAGGTATCTGTGAGACTGAGGCTGCCAGTCATGTGGCATGTAGCACAAAACACAGAGGATGGTGCTAATGACACAAAGAACTGCACTGGCCTATGTCTCTGTGCCAGTAAAATATATTCTGTCAGTGTTATTCTCTGCAGCACTCCATTTATATGAGTATTCTGTTATTATTAAAAATCACATACCAGTCCTTGGCATTGGTAGGGAAAAAGTAGCCTTTAATCATTGCAAAGGTGGAAACTGCATAGCCCAGGATATTGGCACACCACAGGAGAGGAATCCAGTTGTCAAAAATGATGGTGGGTGAGAACCAGTGGAAGTAGCAGGCATTTGCAAACCAAAGCACATGGGTAATGAGCCAAGCCTGAAGTCCATTGATTTCATACTTATTCACGACACCTATATGAAAATATGAAGAAAAACCTGAATGTTAGTGACATTGCATTAGTACAGCTTTTTATCAACATGGATACACGTGCAGCAGAGGAGTTCAGTCAAGTGCTCCATGAAATGACCTCACTCTCCTCATCCTCCTGATGAAAAACCTTCTGGAAAGTTTCATTCTTCAAGTCACTCTGCTGTAACCATCAGGTTTTGTTACCTGGTTTTCTCCTCACTCTCACTTCACAAAACAGGGAATTTAGAATCTCCCCCAAAACCAACTGAGGTCACAAGTTATACTTTCTCACAACTGGTTCACATCACACACTTTGCTCAGGTCTCGTGGGTTAATTTGGTTAACTAAGCTTCAGCAGGTGCAACTGCACTGTCAAGTACTAGCAAGGGCCCACTGATTACTCTAAGTGTCAAGATTATCCATCACTGGTGTGGTGACTGTCATATCAACACCTTTACTAACAGTAAGAGATAGAAATGATATTTATTCTAAAAGGCAACAGAGATTGCTTTGTGGTTTCGTCTGAAGTACACGTATGAGGAAGGTGAAAGCACTGACGTGCACATTTCCTCCAGACACACACAGCTTACTGAAGATTAAGTACGGAAGTACTGTCATTTAAAAAGCTTGTATGATGTGCATATTTTCCAAGGAAGAACTTACCTGCAGGGGTGACAGCACCTTCTTGTACACCTCCTACATATCCAGGAAGAAATTTATGGCAGAAGTCAGGAATGAACACATACAAAACCACCTAGAAGACAGAGAATGTATTAACCAGGCAAACCCCCAAAACCCTTTCATACACACACCAAATATAACACACAGCAGTTTCAAGTGAGCATTGGACAAGCAAATAGGGCAAGATTTAGCTGTTGTGATTTTGGACTAGTAATACATCCAAGCTATTAAACAATTCTAAAGATGTACTCATGCATGGTTGTCATCCTGTTTTCATGGGAGGCACGAGAGTTGGTAACTAGATTCAGATCCTTATCCTTTTATTTTTAAGCTAGTGTGGTTTATATGTTAAGTTGTTTTCCAGTTTGGGAAAAAAAATTGAGTGGTTTGGTTAAATTAGAAGATATTTTACACCTCTAAGTTATATCTCAGGCATCAACATTCTTTTACTGTTGGTCTACAGAAAACACCATCCCTTCTGCAGGGTTAGTTTATGATATATTTACTGTGCATTTATTTAAAGCAAATAAGTGTTGTTGGATAGTTGTTTTTTTTTCTTAGAAACCACATCAAGGAACAGGTCACACAAGGAATATTTGTGTATATTCCTTACATATGTCTTTGAGTGAATAGGCTTCATTTGGATATCAAAAAGCCATGGAAAGTAAGAAACACCAAAAAGTAAATGTCAGGGTGACATCCCATTATCCTCATGTGAAAGGCTTCATCCAACAGCTTTTTGAAAAAACAGCCACTGCATCTAGATCCTAACTCAGTGATATACCTGGAAAGTAACCCAAAGGGCATAGATGCCAGCAGCCCTATAGGTCAGCGTAGGAGTCTTGTTCCAGATGTCAGACAGATGTTTCTTCCCCGTCAGCAAGTCAGTAAGTGGACTGATCAGAGAGCACTGGTACTGGTCACAGGACATTATGAAGTAATATACGATAAGAGGTGCAAACATGAGCAGGAAAAGGATGCTTGCCAGGGAAAACCAGTCCACCTCCCTGCAATCCAAAACAGAGTGGGTTTTTTTTCCAGCTTTCAATCAAAACAGTGGTTTAAGGCAAGCAATTTTTTTCAGTGGACCTTCTAGACTAACCAGATGAAAACTGAAAATGCTTTCGGGGCACATATGTTTCTTTGGGTCAAATAGCTTTGAAAACCCCTTAGCACATTACACACTTCACCACATACTGTTACCAAACTACACTAGCTGACCCAAGCAACACAACATGTCACATCTCCCTCCAAAAAGCATATTCTTATTAGAGCTTTCTTGCTTCTGATGGCAACCATGGGTAGAACTGGTAGAGTATTCAGCTGGAAGTGGTAACAGAATCACAAGAATATTATGCAAAGCTTGGAAACACAGAAGACAGACTTTGGGCAGCCATTAGTTGAACTTGTTCTACCACACTGTCTGTGGTGGCAATTACCCCCATGGCCGTTTCCAGCTGCAGCACAACAGTAACACTTGCACAACTCTGTGAGAACAGGGATACGAGTCATAAATCTTGTTACAGCAGGAGATGTCAGCTGGCAACACCACAGATGGATGCCTGCTTTCCAAAACTCAAGAAATATTTAGTTCAGCCCTTGAAGGAACTACAAATTTTTCTGATTTTTTACTTGCTTTCCTTTTTTGCAAGGACTGTGCTTCAACCCAAGCAATCTGTCAAGTTCTCTGTCTTAAAATTTTGAAGAACTCTTCTTCATCATCTGCTACTACAGCTCATGACCCGTGAGCTTTCAAGGGAAGGGCAATGCAATAATCTGGTATTAATAGAGTGAAGTTTAAAAGGAGTGCAGCATCTGTATGATTAGGTATGAACCAATTGGAAATATGATGATTAATTAGGGTCATCAGCTTCTCTCACCATGCTCTCCCCCACTGGACTTGAGATGTTTCAGTATGATTTTGGACACTTTTGTGTTTTCTTTCTTCAGAAGGTTTTTTCTCCTGATGGGCTGCCATGATGCCCTGTATGAAAGAAAATATTCATGGTTTTAGTCCAGCTGGTTCTCAGTAATTCTTTTCACTCTACAGAAGAAAAACACAAATAGAAGTTATTAAAAACTATTACATAGCCTTCTGATGAGAAGAAATTTGGGTGAGGAGGGTATGAAGGGAAAAATCCTTCCCAATTCCTCATGATCTTATACTCAGCAAAACATAAATCAAAACACTGATGTCAAAGTAATCTGTTAAACTTCTCGCTAGCTGGAAATTTCTTTGTAGGGCTGTTGTAGATTATATGGCTTGTTACTTGCACCTGAGACACAAAGGGAGAAAATGTTTTGCCACATTATTATAAACCTCTGAAAAAGAAGTTCTGTAACTAACTGCCTTTCTTAATTAGAGAAATTGCTACTGTTGTAGCATTACCTGTGCTAGACCTTGGTAAATGATGTACTTGTCCCCAGACCCCTTGCTCTGGCTACGTCAGCTACAGCAAAGGAAACCAGGTGATGGTTTATCATCCCCTCTAGATCAGGAACCACTGGGAACAGAGAGAGACTTGCTAGGCAATACGTAATTCTTTCTGGGGAACTTGCATTGTAGCTTTATTTGGCTTTGCCCAAATACTTCTTTTGTTAATGATCATCATTTATAATCTGAACTTTTGGTAAACTCCCTCCAAAGAAAAAAGAAGAAAAAAAGATTCTTTCTGAACCTCGTCTCACAGGAAGCTACAGACCCTAGGACACATGCAGAGTTGTAGTGAGCCATTCAGAGGTGAGCTTGCTGACAGTTGGTAGTTTTGTACATTTTCAGGCTTTCATGTTTTATCTCAAAGCAGAAACTTGCAGTTATTTGCACTGAAACAGAACTGCTCATACAACACACTGTCAGGCCCTGAGGACACTACTCGGCCTCACTGTCCCTGCCCAGCCCGGCCCAGGACCTCTTCCAACCTTGTCCATGGGCCAGGAGATGTGTTTCAGCCCATCAATCCCTGTCCCAGTGATGCCACAGGAGTGCTGATCTCCAGCTCCACCAAAACTCTGTCCCTCTTGGCCACGGGTCCTGCTGAGCCAGGCCTGGCCCACAGGCTGATGTCCTGGCCCAGCCAGGCTCCACACAGCCATCCTGGGTCTGGGTCTGACTCCCCAGACCTGACCCTGACCCCCACGCCTGGGCTGATGGCCCCTGCCTGGCCTTGGCCTGTTCCTATTACCACAGCTCTGCCTGGCAGTCAGAGGACCTGACCCTCACCTATGGACTGACTTTCCAGCTTGACCTGGGAACCACCATCAACGTGGCCCATTACCTGGTTGAGCCTGGCCATAGTCCCTGTGTCTGCCCTGCTCACCTCATGGAGGCATTAGGGGGCTGAGAGGAAGCCCCTGCCCGCGGCCACGCAATCCCCCCGAGCTCCTGGCCCCTTAGGGAGCAGCAGGCTCTCACTGCTCCCCAACACAGGAGGAAAAAGGAAGATGCATAGGTGCCAAAGTAAGGACATCTCAAACAGGATCAGCCCAGCCAAAGGGATAACATGCCACTGTCAGATTGAAAATAGATAATATGTTACTCTGCAGAAATCTCCTCCACGTTGTACATTCAATAAATAGTACATTCAAGGTTAATGTGTGGAAGCTTACGACAGTTATTTGTGTTAGATTCACTTTACATAGTACAACAGTAGTACAAAGTCTAACAGGGAACAGCTACAATACTAGTAAAAATTAAGATAGAAAGACTCTTATTCAGGAATCATCAGAATTGAAAATATTTAGGTGAGACTGCACCTTTGACGTCATTTAGTTCAACTTCACTTGCCCCTGCTGAGAGCAAGGACAACTTGGAACAGGCTGTTCCGTGCCTTGCCCATTGAAATCTTGAATATTTCCAAGGATTCCACGTGATTTGTCAGTCCTACATAGAAAGCAGGCCTCTTTTTTAAGAGATCCAGAAAAGAAAGAAATCCTAGGTTGAGCATTTTCATGTATTTTTTTTTTTTTAGGCTCTTAAGTATCCGGCTGGCTCAGCTGCTTTGCAGAGCTCAGCATACTAGATTTGAAAACTCTGTTCAGTCTGTTGAACACTCATAAAAAACCTGCCTGCAGCACTTGGCATTTTGGGCAAGACCCACCCAGACAGAGTTTACCACTAATCCTACCAGACAGTGCAGAAAAAGGGTAATCACCCACTTACTAGAACTGGGAACTGGCTAGATGAGAAAGGCTGGTCTTTAAGAGGGTGCATGTGGGATCCACACCTCCCACCTATTGAAAAGCCAAAAACTGCCACCAGGCTTTGCCATTTTATAGAGTAATTTAAACAACAAGTGCCTGCTTAGGACTACTCTCCTGAACACCTATACCCCAGTCTGACAAGCAGCAACCACCTCCCCTGGAGCTACTCCCACGTCGCTTCACACACCCCAATGTTTCTGCATCAAGACTCCCAGTACTCCTAACAACAATTATTTCCATTTCTACAACCACAAGCTTTCTGGTACCCCACTAAACACACCCTAAATGTTGCTTTCCTAAACCTGTAGTCACTTTAAAAGGAACCTGAAGCAGAATTCACCGTTCAGACATCACCTGCACAGAGAAGCCCAGAGATGTGCTCTCCTGCTTCAGGGCTGGGAGGAGAGGTCCTGCACTGCTGCTCATGCTGGGTAAAGAACAATCATGCCAGCCACGGAGTTCGCTTGGGACTTCTCCCCATTTGCTGCCTCAGCCACGTATCTAACTCACAGTTCAGAGTAAAGGTCACCCGAAGTCCTTTCAAGCAGTGACAATACCTGTTTGATGCTTTTCATCAGCACTTTCTGGACCTACTGAGAAGAATCCTGGTCAAGCAGAAGCGCGGCAAAAACCAACCCCAACACTTTAGGCTCTGTCCTACAAAAATAAGGCAAACTCCTGTTGCGAATGTGCGTTTTGAAGGCAGCTGACGCGCCGCGCCCAGAGCCGCGTGCTCTGCCCAGGAGAGGCAGGGAGGGGAGCTGCCGGGGG